TGGGGGAAGTAGCGGCACCGGCCTCTGGCTTAACATGGTGAAGATTCAAATGCAGCTTCGGGATGTAAAATCCCATCGAATTAGTTAAACGTTCGGTTTAACAGATTAAACTGGAGCAAAGGGGATGGGGGGGAGGGGGCTCCAGGCCAGCCAGGTGTGGGGAAGGGGTGCTCTGGGCCGGCAGGGGGCTGCTCCAGCCCCCACCGGAAAACCTCTAGCATCCCTAATCCAGCGGAGGCTGAAATATCCCTACTGACGGTCTAGCCTTTTGGGATCAAATCCCCCACTGGTGTAAGCCCCATTGCTGCAGTGAGGGCTGCCTGGAATTCCATCAGCTGCCCCGACAGACCTACTGGGGCGGGGGGTGAGGGCTGGGGCTGATCCCTGATCAAATCCCCCACTGGTGTAAGCCCCATTGCTGCAGTGAGGGCTGCCTGGAATTCCATCAGCTGCCCCGACAGACCTACTGGGGCGGGGGGTGAGGGCTCGGGCTTTGGGCCCTGGAACAGGGGGGGGCAGGGAGCAGCCTCTGCCGACGGTCACGGGGACAACCCCCCCTCGGAATGCAGCCGGGGTGGGTGAGGGCAGAATCCAGGCGGTGGCCTCAGCCATGTGGGGCTGGGGGAAACTGAGGCCGGGGAGGAACTTGAATCCCCGGGCAAAATTCTACTCAGGTCTCCTCAGCGGCCGGAGTCCGTGCCCTGGCGTGGTGTTGGGGGTCGGTAATTGGGCTGGCGGCGAGGTTTGCCGCAGCCCCTTGTCCGATGTCGGCATGGTCGGGGGGCTGACAACTATTTCTCATCTCATTAATCACCCTTCATCCCTTGCAGAATTCTACATGGAAACAAACTGCTGCAGCCCGTAGACAGTCATTTCTGTTGTGTCTCTGTGTGAGAGAGAGTACTCTTGCTGAGCCTTTGTAGATCACAACCACCAGTATGATCTTATCTAATTTAAGCATCAGGGTGGTGTAGCTTTCCCACTTAGTACTCCCACTTACTCCACACAGCAAGGAAGATGAAAGCATTACCTCCTTATCCCTGCCTCTTCAGAGAGCAGGAAAGCATATGAGCATTCCCTTGTTAATAAGTGTGGGGATCACAACTGTGATTAGCTTTACAAAGGGCATTTATAGGAGGTGGAGACTCCTTTTGCCCCTCTCTGGCCATCTACACAAGGGCTAATAACAAACTGCAGGATTTTCAGCATGTTTTGTCCCCTTCCTGAAATAGCTGCTCCAAAGTAGATGACTCTGGGTTACACCACGTTAGAAAAGCCATTAACTGTTAATCAGACCTGAGGCAAGGAGGCCGCTGTCATGCTCTGGGGTACAATCCAAACCAATGACCAATTGTCATTGCCTACTCTGTAACTGTACCAAACGACTTTCCTGCTGTGGTTCTCTTGCCTGGACACCCCCAGCCAGCATACAAGCCTGCACTCAGCCTGCTTGCTATGCTTCAGTCACATTTTTGGTTACACTTGGCAAGATTACCCTACAACAGTGCCAGTCCCAAATTTGACCATGATCATGTGCTCTGCAGTCTCCCAGCCTCTCCTGGACCATTCAGAGACAGAATAAAGTTTTGTTTGTTCCTTTAAAGGGATAATACCTAGCAGCTTGCCACATTAACTGGACTGTAACATCATGTTAAATGAAATATGAACTGGGTTGCTTTAGATTAAAAGTAAAGTTATTTATTAACAAAAGGAGATAAAATTTAAGCAAGTTCACATATAAAAAGAGTTAGAAATGGTTACAAAAATAAAAGTGAAAACACTTTCCACGGGCTAAGATTTAACAAAACAAGCTACATTTTTGTTTAAGTTAGTTTCCTTACCAATCTACCTTCTCAACAAGATGGCTGATCCATCCATCTAGTCAGAATCTCCCACAAGACAGAAGTACTCTATGCCTTTGTCTTTAGGTAAAAGATTACTAAAGAATCCCAAGTACAGTGGATTTTTAAATGGATTCTTCAGAAGATTAATTTGGGGAGTAAAAATCATTCAACCTCAGAGAAAGGCAACAAGGAGTCTCTTGAAGAAGGAAGTTTCATGCTAGTGTCTTCTACTGGTATGTTAAAATGCAAAACTGATCTGTTTCCTATAATCAATTCCCTCTGCTGTCTCGATGGTCCTGTTTATCTTCTATGTAATTTGTGTTCCAGTTCTCTCAATGTACCTTGCCGATGCTTTCCAGGTGGCAGAACCTCATTTCTTTGTCTAGTTTGGAGTAACTTTAGCCCTCCCTGATAGGGATGTAATAGTGTAGCCAAATAACTAATTAACCAATAAGCAAAAGCTTATAGGTTAAAGCTATAGGCGACACGTATTTTCCTCCCCCCTTCTCCCAACAGTAAATTTTTTAGCAGGCTGGCCAGCAGCACAGCTCAGTTCTGGCTCATGACGGATCAAGAACCCTGCCCTCGCTGCAGCTCTGCATTTACAGTGTATTAGGAGCCAGGCAGCCCCGCTCAGTTCTAGCTCATGCCAGGTTCAGGCCGGTCTGCAAGGAGAGCTGGTTTTTAAACTGGCTCCCCTCATGGACCAGCTCCCGCCTGGCTCCCCACGCTGCCCCCCACCCAGACTCAGCCTGGTCTGCAAGGAGAGCTGGTTTTTAAACTGGCTCCCCTCATGGACCAGCTCCCGCCTGGCTCCCCCTGCTGCATCCCACCTGGACTCCTAACTGCTCCCTTACAAACAGCATGGGCCGGATCCCCCGCTGCCCTACTCCCTGGGCAGGCCCGTCCCTCGGGGCGCAGGGAGTCTGACGTGCTCCCGAGCCAGGCCGCTCGCATTGGCACACGTTGGCGATCTGACCCGTCTAACAAGCTGTCGCTTCAGCTCAGTGCCTGTGTTAACATGGGCACAGCTCCATGTCCTAAGCCACCCGCAGCTCCCTGGGCCCGGCAGGGAAGAGCACCGGCCCCGGGGTAGAACAGCCCGAGGGGGGCAGGCACGTGTGGCCATGGGGCTAATCGTGGTGCCTTTCTGGTTGGCAGGGCGAGCCCTACCTACGCACGGCTTACGGCATCCTGATCTGTTACTGGGACGGCGTTGTGCACTACCTCCTCTACCTCGCCATGATCGGAGCGATCGCACAGCGGTACGGGGGGCGCCGGGGCTGCTGCAGATTGGGGTCCCCTGTTCATTCATTGGACTTCTTCCCAGTGTCAGGGGGAGGAGAGCGGGGGTTGCTTTTTGCTGGCCCCGTCTGGGGAGGGGGACACTAGGGGAACAGTAGTCAGCCTTCCCAATGGATTTTGCCCGTGGTCCCAGCCAGTGTTCCCTCTAATCGTTTCCACCCATGTGCGGAATAAATTTTATGTGCCCGAGATATGTGCGAACGTGCACCACCAATGGAAACACAAAACTAGCTGGGGGCACTCTGCTAATCAGCTGGGCAGCACTGGAATCCCTCCTGAGCACCCCCCCCCCCCCCGACGCCCC